TTTTATACCCTGCCTGGTTCGTAAAACCGTCTCCCGCCAAAGAAATATTCAAATTTTTTTCGGAGATCCGGGGTTCAGGCGCGTATGAGCGGAAATTTTAAAACGGGAGGATGACACACGGGGTAAGAACATATACCCAAAATTTCTGCCTCCCAGCTTTCCTGGCTGCTGAGTTGAAATTAGGTGACAAAGGACACTCGCTTCCGAACATACACATATACAGACGATCTCTCGACAGTATGCGCTTTTGCTGACTGTAGCAGTGCTATAGTGCTGCACTGCAAAAACGCATAAAAATGAGAAAAAACGCGAAATGAGCTAGTAGTTAGAAAATTAAGTCTAAAAGATATCAAATTTAAAGGGCAACAGTGCAAAATTCAGCTGAAAAGAGTAAAATACAGCCAAAATAGTACTAAAAACATCTCTGAAGTATTCAACCTTCGTTGGAAAACAAAAGACGTATCTGTGGCCGCTATATTTACCGCTAGAATGTTCCAGAAATGCTATTATTATGCTAATGAATTCGAAAAATCGGAAAAAGCAAGTGAGACGTATAGTTCCATACGCAGAGCAGAATGCCTAAGTCCTGCTCGGCCTCAAAAAAGCCAATTCCGGCAAACGTATTACTTTCTTATCAAGTACAAAGTTCAAGCATAGTAAAACTGCAAACCATGTTACCAGTGTAACTCTTACTGTTAACACCGTCATGAACATCATTCAGCCAAGCATCCAAGTCATCCTCGTTATCATCCGCTGGACATGTCGAATGTACGCTGCCGCCGCTCATCGATGCCACGTCCTTCCTGCTATCGGCAATACTTTGCACAGAATCGCTCATTGGGACTTTGTATGCTAGAAGTAAACTGACAAGATGAAGCGCGAACGATAGAAAGAGATCCGGGCAGAAGAATCCTTGTCAAGATCAATTTTATACAAGTTTGCAATGCCTTTAAGCTGACTTCAAAATTGTAATCCTTTACATACGGTCGAAAAAATGGGATTCCCAAAATTCAGCTTCCTCGTTTCCGGATTTCCAAGCTG